ATTACAGGCACGCGCTACCAGGCCTGGCTGATTTTTTGATTTATTGTAGAGATGAGGTCTTACTGCCCAGGCGGGTCTCGAACCCGCAGGTTCATGCAATCCACTCACCCCAGCCTCCCAAAGGCTCAGGATTACAGGCTGAGCCACTGAGCCCGGTTGTCTCTCTTTCTTTCCTGTTGGAGTCTCACTCTGTCACCCAGGCTGGAGTAAAGTGGCACACTCACGGCTACCCCAGCGTCGACCTGGTGGGCTCAGGTGATCCTTCCGCCTCAACCTTCCAAGTAACCGGAACTACAGGCATGCACTACCACACCCAGCTAATTTTTTGATTTATTGTAGAGATGAGGATTCACCAAGTTGCCCAGGCTGTTCTCGAACCCTTGGGCTCAGGCAATCCTCTCACCTCAGCCTCCCAAAGTGCTGGGATTACAGGCTTGAGCCACCGCGCCCAGCCACTTTCTTTTTTCTTTTTTTAAAGACTAGTTAAGTGCCGTAATGAGAAGGGGGGAAAGACTAGACCAAGAAGTTCAATTTGTAACTGACGTGAACAATCAAATGATAACTCATTACCTTCAGACCAGCCAAATAAAATATAAAGTTATCATATCAGCTACCAAACTGTTTTCCAGATAGTCACCAGTTTTCACTGCCCATTTGGAGTATTTTTCTTTACACACAGTTAAGAACAAATTAGATACAATATTAGTTTTTCAACATGACCCCCAATTCATCTTCGGAACATGAACAGGCAATAACAGATATTTATTTCAATAAGAGACATAGTAACTAAGTGTGAATTTCTCATACTAGCTTGAAATTGATGTGATGACTAATAAGAATACTAAATTTAAAAACTGAATCTTGGCCGGGTTCAGTGACCCAGCCTGTGATCCCAGCACTTTGGGAGGCCGAGGTGAGTGAATTGCCTGAGCCTGTGAGTTCGAGACCAACCCGGGCAACTTGGTGAGACCATGTCTCTACAATACATCAAAAATTAGCCGGGCGTGGTAGCGCGCGCCTGTAAGTTCTGGCTACTTAGAAGGCCGAGGCAGAAAGATCGCAGGTTGACAATGGGGTGGCCCTGAGCGTGCCACTGTACTCCAGCCTGGGCAACAGAGTGAGATTCCAACTCAAAACAAAACAAAACAAAAAAACTGAATCCTAGCAGGATCTGGTGGCTCACACCTATAATTCCAGGGCTTTGGGAGACTGAGGCAGGAGGATTGCTTGAGGCTAGGTGTATAATTCTAGCCTGGGCAAGATAATGAGAGGCATCACCAGTAAACATTAAAAAAAAAAAAGTAGCTGGTCACGGTAGCTCACACCTGTAGTTTCAGTTACTCGGAGGCTAAGGCAAGAGGAGTACTTGAGCCCAGGAGTTTGAGGCTGCAGTGTTTTGATGATGCCACTGAGCTCAGTCTGAGCAGCAGAGCAAGTCCCTGTCTTTAAATATCCTTGCAATATCTAATGAGACCTTATTTGGACTTTCTTGATCTTGATTCCTTTCTCACTTCCTACCTTCTTTCATTTATTTAATCAATCATTCACTTTACAAATATTTATTGATTGCTCACAGCCCTGGCACTGTGCTCAAATCCTTATCTTTCGTCTGGCCACACCCACCTTTCCTTCCAATCCTGCCAGGTGTTTTGGCCTGGGCCTCACCTTCAAATTCTCTCAGACTTGTACCGCAGAAATCTGTAGAATGACAACCCTTAACCAGAGAGACATGAGGACTGTCCATACATAGACTCTTCAAAATATACATTCGTTTGCTAATCACCAACCACTCTGGCCCTTTCTTTGGTTTATATAATATTGTACTAGATTTTTAAAACTCTCTAATTTCTTATTATGTTTTCCTCCTTTTTTACAGAGATTTTCTTCCAGTTTCCACTTCTCAGGGATTAGAGGCACCTAACTTCGAATGAAAATATCCTCTTTTTAGACTTCTTGGAAGGTGGGGAGATGCTCCCCGAAAGGGAATTTTCTTTCTGGTCTTAATGTCCACCTAATTTTATAAGCATAGCTTCCTTATCATTATTATTTTTAAAGGTATACAATTACATCATTAGATACTTCATGTCACATATTTCATTTTTCCTAAATTTGGGGGGAAAAGCAAGCTCAGAGTGGAAAACAGTTTTTCCTCTGGAAAAAGACAGAGGGTGTATGGGAAGTTGAGGTTAAAACGAAGTTGTGGCGACGCTGGGGTTTCAGTAGGGGTCAACATTACATTCAGCCCTCTCCTCGAACATTATTTTCTACCTACAAACACAAAAAAAATGAAGCAAAATTCCTCATGCATATAAAGTTTTTGCATTGGACCAGCTGGTCCAGTTCTCCAGTGTAACTTCCTTCCCCTCTTTGTCTCTGTTTATTAATTTTCCCCTTCCCCGCACCCAGACCCTCCACTTAGCCCTTCTCCCTGCCCTTTCTTCCACTTCCGGCTACCGGCTTCTCCACCATCCTCAGAGCCTCAGCATCCCCTGCCTGAGACTAAGGAGCCCTGCGGGCCGCGGGGCCTGGGTTAGCCCGCAGCCAAGCCAGGGCTCCGGGGCGGGGGCGGTCTCAGAGGTCGGGCGAGGAGGTGGGAAGCGCCTTCCCTGCTTAAGTGATCTCAACGCAAATCTGCCCGAGTTCTCTTGCGAGACAGCTGGCAGGTTTTGCTATTTCCCAATCGTTTACTCGCCGGGCTCTCGGGTGCACGCGCCTCGGGGCTGCGCCCTGCACGCTCAAACTTCATTCAGAGGCAGGGCCGGGCGGCCCACGAGGCCGAGGCCGGGGGGGTGGGTGACCTCCCGGCCACTTCCTCCCTCTCCGCGCCCCTCCCCCGCTCCTCCAACCACCTTAGCACAAACAAAACTGTCCCCCAGGGCGGGGAGAGGTCTCGCTCTTTCGCACACTCCCTCGCAAGGGGTTAATTTTCCCGATCGCACGAGGGGGAGGAGATTTCCCTGTAGACGAGTAAAAAGGGTGATGGACAAACGTGCGGGCACTAAGACCGCAAGGCATTCATTTCCTCCTACGGTGGATGCGGACGCCGGGAGGAGGCGAGCCCCGGAGAGAGGAGCTGGGAGCGGAGGCGCAGGCAATGCTCAGCCCTGGATGTAGCTGAGAGGCTGGGAGAGAGCACGAGCGCCGGAGACCCCGCGGCGAGGGGAAGACCTCGGGGGGTGGGTGGGGGAGCAGACAGGAGAGCCCTCGAAAGCAAGCGCTTTACAGATTATTTTATCTTGTATAGAGAGCACGTAGCGACTCCGAAGATCAGCCCCAATGAACATGTCAGTGTTGACTTTACAAGAATATGAATTCGAAAAGCAGTTCAACGAGAACGAAGCCATTCAATGGATGCAGGAGAACTGGTAGGTGATGCTTTCGCTCGATCCTGCTCCCGGGAGCCCTGCGGGTCTCCCGGGGCGCCTTCCTGCCGGGGTTGCCGGTGCGGGCGTGGATGGAGCGGGGAGCCGGCTGATCGCGAAGTTCTCGGGTCTCCGGAGCGCCCGAGACGCCGGGGCCGCCTGGAGCGCGCCGGCTGCGGGTGCCCCGGTGTGAACCGCGGCCACGCGGGCGTCTTTTATATGGCTTATATAACACGGAACATAAATGTGTGTATGGAGTGCTGTCTGCGCGGCGGGGAAGGCGGGAGAAATGCCACAGCCCAGATGCCCTACCTGTGCCACCCCCTGGTTTTTTCGCCTCTGTGTGGGTTTCCTGGCTTGGCCTCCCGCAGCCGGCGCGTGAACGGCAGGAGAGGAAGGACCCCATCTCCCGCTCGCGTTAACCCCCGCCCGCCCCCGGCCCTGGTCCTCGCCCTCTCCCCATCCCTCGTGTCCTTCCTTTCTCCTTGCAGCGCTCTGGTTCCGCCGCCCTCTGCCCGCCGCTCCCCGGCCGGATGCCCCCTCTCCAGGACCCCTTTCCCCACGCGGATCCCTTTCCGGTTTCGTCCCGAGTCTGGGTGGGAGGGAGGAGAGGAGGGGACAATGAAGGCAGTAATAAATGAATGAACCCGAGCGAGTGGAGCCACGCCATGATGAAGTTTCTGTTTTACGGAAACGCCTTTTGGACACACTCACTTCTAATTCAGTGCGAGGCTGCCGACTGGAGTGCAGGCACACGAATCAAAAGCCCCTCCGTCCGCATCGTCTTTGGGGGCCCCTCCCGGAAAACTTACAATGGGAGGAAAACACCTCGCTGACTGTACTCCCTCCACCAGTCCTTTTTAAAATCCCTGTGTGGGAGGCGATCCGGTGTCACCTTGCAATATTTAACAGGGCGGGTGTGTCCATCTCGCTCCTTCCTCGTAGACAGAACTGTGGCAGAGACATTTCCCTCCTCCCCTAAACTCTGGGTCTGGCGAGCAGTAAAGTGCAAGCCCGGCGCACCCCGGAGCTGGGCAGTGGCTTGATGGGGGAGGGTCCGGCCAGAGGGGCTCCCGGGGATGCCGCCCGCCGCGTGCCCTGCGCCCTCCCGACCCGCCGGCCCTCCCTCCTCTCATCAATGGGAAACCCGAGACG